AAATTCGGATTTTCAATACAAACGTCAAGTCAGTCAGTTCTTCTATACGGATCAGAAACTTGGCGGGTCACCAAGAATATTTCCAACAGCCTGTTGCAGACCTTTATCAACAACTGTCTTCGTTCTACACTGAAGATCAGATGGCCGGAAAGAACAAGAACCAACAAGAAACTATGGGAGCGAACAAAACAAGAACCAATTGCTCAACAAATATGCAAGAGGGAGTGGAGATGGATTGGACACTCGCTGAGGAGGCCACTGGGTGACATCGCGCGTCAGGCCAGTGCTCGAGTGGAGCCCGAAAGGGAATCGGCGAGTAGGACGTCCAAGGGTGACATGGAGGAGATCGTGTGAAGAGGAGTTGAAACAGTATGGATTAACATGGATGCAGGTGAAAAGTACAGCAGAAGACAGAAGCAAGTTGAGATGTACAGTTGAAGCCGTATGTTCCACTAGGAACCCAAGGGAACAATAATAATAATATGACATGTTGGTTAATGACTTTCATTATTTGCCTTTGTCTTGACCTGTTTAATCTTTAATTGTAATATTTCTCTTTGTGGTTGTGTGTACATTGACACTGTGCTGTTTAAAGATATGAGTTTAATTGAGTGAACGAAGGTGATTCTGACCCCCGGGACTGACTGCGGTAGGATGCCTTAGTGTGTGATTTTTGTGGACAACAGAGCTTTTGATCCCAACCTCGTTAGGAATATTCTCCTCCTCGATTCTAAGGTACTTTTTACAGTTGATCTTCGATTTACTAATTTTGTCTTACAGTACTTGTTTTGAATTTAGAAACCTATTTTCTTTGTTGAGATAAATTTGAGTTTTGAGTTAAAATAGCTAAGGCCTTGGCATTGCAGACAGGAGACAAAAGTTTTTGATGTGGTTGTGTTCTCTGAGCTGGATAGTTAATTTGCGAAGCTTTCATTGTCCCACCACTAGGCAACATCTTCAGTGCATACTTCAATTTGAAGTGAGCGAACAACCACAGGGGAATTAGAAACCCAAGTTTATAGAAAATCAGCTCACACAGATCAAATACTGAATTACAACAGCAACAACCCAATAACACACACAATGAATTGCATACAAACACTATTTAAGAAGGCCAGGACTCATTGCAGCACTCCCAACTTAAAGAAAATTGAAGAGAGATATCTTATGGACGTCTTCCGAAAAAATGGATATCCACGAAATTTTATCAAAAGACATGTACCTCCAAGCCAACCTAGCAAACCAAAAGCCCCCAAGGAAAGCACAAAGAAAGTCGCCCTGCCATATATAAAGGATATGTCAGAAATCACTGCAAGACTCGTCAAACCTTTAGGAACTGACGTCGCACACAAACCAACAAAATCAACACTCAGCTCTGTGTCAGTTAAAAGACTTAACAAAGAAAGAAGATAAAACCAACATCATCTACAAAATAAATTGTAACAATTGCGAAAAACACTACGTTGGCCAAAGTGAACGTCCCCTTCGTCTTCGTATCCACGATCATAAGCTAGCTGTCAAAAGACATGATATCCACTCCCTCATATCACTACATACAGACAACCACGGACATCAACTCAACTGGGACAACGTTCAAATATTAGACAGAGGAAACAACTAGAATGCTAGAGAATTTTTAGAAGTCTGCCTGGTATTCCAGTGAATCATCAATCAATAGACACATCGAGATAGACAAAATTTATCAACCGATAAGAAAGAAACGTCACACACAAAGGGTCAAAGTTCAAGTCAAAGAAACAATGAGTGACAATACAAGTAGCCTAGAGGGTGTGAAAAGACACAAAAACAACCAATCACGTCCAAGGTCACCGGGAGAGATGATTAATAAACTCGTGGAGAAATCTAAAAGCTCACTTCAGGGTGATGAAAGCCTTGCAAATTAACTATCCAGCTCAGAGAACACAACCACATCAAAATGATCCACCTGAGCTACAAATCTCCATCAAATATAAATTTTATGGGCGGAGACAAAAGTGTATTGACTTTGAAAGGCTATTATTCACTTTGTAGATTCCTTTGAAGGAGGCGTCTGTTGATATGGAATGACCAGTGTTGACAACAGCAGCTTCTACTTTTTTCCAGCTGTATAAGAAGTGTGATAATTGAACACCTTGTCAACGCCGGTCATACCAAAGTGAAGAATAATCTGCTGAAGACAGGCAATACACTCTCGTCTCTTGACTGCATTGCTGAAGCTTTAGTCATTCGACTAGAAGCACACGAGTTATGCATACAAAAGAAAAGACACTCAACCACTTCTACTATCATAGTGACAACCTTGTTGATTCCTACTGTCTCAATTTTTGTCAGTGGTGTTTCTGACCTGTTCTGACCCTTGAATATCTTTACAACTCTTGCATAATTTCTTAATTTCCTTCGTTATTATGTGCACTCTGATAAAAACTCACTCGTGAGATTATTCATCTTATTAGGTAACTGCAATACACTTTTTCAACTTCTCTTATGCATTGATCTTAATACTAACAACTATGTTTGTGACAACTCATCACTTTTGTCCCTTTCCTCTTTCATGAAAAATATGATTGTTTATAAACGCAATTGTACAGCGGGTGGGGGGGGCGGAGAAGAAGGAATTCACCGCCGAAAAAAGACTCTTCGTTAAAGAATTACTACTTGTCTTGTTTTGAGTAATCAGGATCGCAGTCATCGAAAAATATCATCATTTTAAGCAAAAGGATACATGGATCATAAAAGATTAGCGGATATTTCTCATTGCTGAATAAATCGTCGACATTCAATTCACACTAAAACAAAACAAGAAGGAGAAAAGTAGCAATGATAACAATAATCTCAATAAATAGTAAAATATAGTTATTATTACTATTGGATGTAGGATTGCATCATGAGCTGACATCAATTAAAGAACCACTGGGAAACCTGGGAGTAATGGACAGCTGTTTAGTCAGCCTGGTTTGGGACTCTTCAGCAGTATGCACGCACTGCAGGGGTTCGAACCCAGGACCTTCTGGTTACAAGGCGAGCTCGTAGACCAATGGCTCGATGGTTTGAACTCCGGCGGGTGTGTACTGCTGAAGAGTCTCAAACTAGGCTGAGTAGACAGCTGCCCAGTACTTCCTAACTGGTTTTCCAATGGTTCTCAAACTGATGTCAGCTTATGATGAAATCCTCCAACCAATCAAACAAAATCCTTACAAAACCAATACTTGGAAATATTATTATTGTTTCCTTTAATTCCTAGAGGAACATAGGGATTCAGCCGAACGTCTCCGCCAACGTTTTCACCTGGCTCCACGTCTCCCCAAATGCTTTCATCTCCTCTTCACATGACCCCCACCTCCTCCATGTCACCCTCGCTTTGACGACCAACTCGCCGCTTACCATTTAGGTTCCACTCGAGCGATGGCCTGGTGTGTGATTTCACTCACTTGGTGGTTTGGTTTCGCAGAGTATGGCCGCCAATTCACCTCCATTTCTTCCTGCATATTTGTCGCACAGTCGTTCCCGCTGGGTTGGTTCGCTCCCAGAGAGCCCTGTTAGTTATCAACAGTAATTAAGTCAAAAAAACAACGTCGAAATACATTCGGTTTCTTTCGCAGCTATGATCATAGTCGAGGTAGGGAGTTATTGTGGTAACACTGGCTACGTATTCTTCGCTCATATTGTAGATGCGGAACATAAACTATCGAGCTGTGAAAAGATGCGACATGTATTCCTACGTAGACGATTATGGACATCAAATTGACTTGGAAAATGTAGACAGGGGAAACATTAAAGCTAAATCATCTGAATTTCAAAAGCCTTCCGAGGTTCCTTCTTTGTATGGAAGTACGACTGATGACTGTGTTTCTGTTAATAATCGCTAATTTGTAAGAAAGCACAGAGATAAAAGTTGCATTCAGTCACCCAAAAACTCAACTAGAAACCGGCTTTTTCGGTTAGAGGGTCCTGTGGAGCCCCTTGAACAAAGCAAAATGTAATATCCTGCAATGATTGTTAGGTCAAATACGTAGATCAAACTAGTAGTAGAACGGGGTCAGTCAGACTAGTGGAGCACAGAAACCCAGCAAAATCTAGATTAGTTTATTCTAATGAGATAAGAAATCTGGAGAACAGATCAGCTACATGCAAATTCACACAGCCATACAATAAGAAGGTATAAGATGACAGTTTTAAAATTTAATGTCACAGGGTGGAGGGAGAGACTGATAATGGAGGTCTTATTTATCAAATCAACTGAAAATGCGTATAGTAGGAATGATTCAACACCTGTTAACATGGACATCTGAGAAATTCTACTGTGGTGAGAGCTGTCTGCTAGGGAAAATTGGTAGACAGCAATTTACATCAGTCTTTACGCCTCGAATCTAGGTCATGAGAAAAAAACAAGAACAAAGACTAACCTTGAGGATCTCAACAACCAATCACAGCAGACTTAGCGTGGGCGGATGTGATTAGCAGATGTATCACCGGGCTGTCTAAGAAACGACAACAAAGAGATGACAGAATAACCTTCAGCAGGAAAACAACCAGTCAGAAGATGTTGCTTCTCTGCTAACAATAACGCTAATAATAATGTACATAGAAATCTACAAGTATCTGTTGATTTTCTCAATAAACGATCTGTTGCCTGTCCCTTGTATTCTGTCGTAACACCACTACCCCTATGACAAATAGGAAGGAACAGAGAAAACTACAAAACGAAAGTTTAGAAGTGGTGTAGTTATGATTGACCATTTGATTGTGAAGAATAAAAATTTATGTTAGAAACTTTTTCATTCAGCAGATAATGCCGATTCACTCTGTGTGTGATATATCCAATAAACAGATTAATACGGAACTACATACTACTACCACAGTACCCAAGTTTTACTCATATGATAATAATGGAAACGTTGTGACCTCCACAGAATACACTCAAGGGACTTTTTATTACTTCATATTTTACTACTTATAACATTTAAATAGTAAAAGTTGTTTTGAAGAAAATATAAACTTACGGTTTGTTGATATGCAGTAGCAAACTGATAGGCAGCTTTCATTCGAGCTGATGTATCTTTGCACAACTGCAGTTGTCCACCTTGTGTTGCATCTTGAAAGCCTAAAAACTCCCCGTTTACTTTGAATGCAGCTAAATAAACTTTTAGCTCAGAATTAGGCTTATATATGGCTGTTAATGAGGTATCTTTGAGAACTGTTGATCCTTTTGCTGGGCTATAATACAGCCATGGCATTTTATTCATCCTAGAAAGAATGGAAACAATAATAAAGGAGGAAAATACCGTGTCAGTTTCTTCTAAAGAAACGGATTGTGATAAAATGAGAATAATAATTAATTGTAGGATTGATCACGAGCTGTTTCGTCCTGGTTCGGGACTCTTCAACAGCACTTATCCATCAGGTTCAGAATCCAGGACCTTCCGGTTCCAAGGTAAGCTCTCAGACCATCCATCCTACTGGGATCCAACCTATTAGTCCATGAATCCCAACTCCCAAGATTTCCAATGGTTCTCTTACTGATATCAGCCCGTGATCAGTCTTGTAACCAATCAAATCTCTGTAAATTAGCATTTGATAATAATTATTGATTATGTGTTTGTCTACACGAATTCAACTGGTCTCAAGATTAATCACGAAATGGCACCAAGTGAACAATCCCAAGTGAGACAGGGATACAAAGAATTCAGCGCAGAAAATTATCTTTACAAAACACAAAATAATCGAGCAAAGAATATCCTTTTCGATAAATTCCTCTTCCAGGCTCTACAGTTAAATATATGTTTATATACATAGAATATTTTAAATTAGTAGTTAATAACAATATTAGCGTTTTTTAAATAATATCGATTTGTAAAGTAAGATCACAGCGGAATTACAGTTAAGATACTTAAATAATAATAATAATAAAGATATAGTAGCGAATAGAATATCAACTAAAATGAGGGAAATTCCACAAAAATTCTGGATTATTCAAACCTGGATGGCCAAGGTAATGATAATGTCTGAACTAACTTCTTTCGGATGCATAAATTAGGCTTGTTAATATGGTTCCCCACAGCCTCAGCAATATTTAGTAGTCGAACTCTTAAGGCAAAACTGAGATTCGTAGGTATGCGGTAAATGACTCTGAAAGCATGATTAACGTCAATCTTGTGTTCTGTCTCCACAAGATGGGACGGGATAGCGCTGTGAATAGATTTTGTTTGTCCTTTGCCTAACCACCAGCCAGGGTGATGTTCGGAAATTCGACGCGAAACATGCCTAATTGTACGGCCTATGTAACTGGCTCCATTGTAGCAGTTAAATTAGTATATACACAAGGAAGAGGCGAAATTAGGCAGTTTGTCTTTTATTCCCGAACGCAGAAGAAGATTGGTTTGAAAGATACAGCGTAATTTAGCAGCAGGGAATGCTCTTTTTACTGCATTTCTAAGGCGCTGTGTTAGTATCTCACTGGTGTTGTCTCCTAGGAACTGCATCTGTAAGAACAAGGCCATTTTTTGGAAATGTTGGTAACTTGGGCTGCTTTGATTTTAGATTCATATTCTTATCAATAAACTTTTCAGGACAGCCATTCTCACTTAACAACCATTTAATTTTGTTAAGTTCCTCGTCAAGATATCTGTCCGAGCAAATCTCTCTTGCTCTGTGGACCAAGCACTTTATCAGATTGCGTTTTTATTTCAGGGGCACAAAGCTGAGAAAATTCTCTTTGTGACGGTTTCATTTTCGTAGCTATACAATCGTATATATATAATCAGAATATCCCACTAAATCGACCAGGAAAAGGTTCATGGATTGTAATAATGGATCGGAAAGATTATTCTGACAAAATTTCAGAAACCTTAACGTGAGAAGAACAAGACAGGAAAATGATAGAGGAAAAAAGTCATACAGGTTCTGAAATTAATGAAGAATGATTCACATTATTGACTAATTTTACTGGGGAAACTATCTTATCACTTGATGTATTCCGGCTGTTTAGCAATATTCCATTTAGTGAAACAGTATGCTTCCTTTGTGATCACACCGACTTACATAAAGTGAACAGAGGAATGCCCACATCATACCTAAAACAGCTCATACTTCGATGTACTCTAAATGTCAAATTTCTTTTCGACAATAAGATCTATAGACAGAGAAATGGGGTAGCTATAGGTTCACCACTTGATCCGTTCCTAGCAGAATTCCTTTCAGCTAGTATGGAGAGCAGTACTCACCCACCTGCTATAAAGGAGCTTAACTTCTACGAAAGATACATGAATAACACGTTCTTTATATGCGACGAGAACTGTTATTTGGATGACATTCGGAGGGTATTCAATCACAGTCATCTTGCTATCCGATTCACTTTAGAAAAAGAAACTGATGGGTTTGTGAAAAAATCTATGTACAGAAAATCGAGGTGGACAGGACAGGTGACCAATTTTTACAGTTTTCTGCCTATAGACAGAAAAAGTAATCTAATCTATTCTCCTTCAGAAAGAATAAGGAGATGTTGTAGTGAAGATAGTGTTGATAATGAACTCAAACAACTGAAAGAAACCTTAGTAGAGAACGGGTATCCACTGCACTTTGTAGAGGCCAACAGCAAATTATGTGGAAGAAATACAGAGATTGACAAGGTAACTAAAAACGTGTAGCACCTTAATTTAGAATTAAGGGGTGACACTGCGAATGACATACTTAAAAATCATCTAGTGAGATCGCTGAGAAAAACGTTTTTTGTTGCAAATTTATGAATAATCTACTCTAGCCATCCACTGGTGTACCTTAATGTCAAGGAAATGTTAACTTGATTGTCCAATTCCCTATGTATTTACATTTTCACCTGCTCTTGTGGAGCTAGGTACATAGGATGTTCGTTGAGAAATATATCCCGCCCCGTTTGACAGCAATCCCTAGCTTGGTTGACCATAAGAGAGCGTAGAGGTACCAATTCATCTATATTGCAACATATTGTAGATACTTACCACAAAGTATGTGATACATCGTTTAATATAGTCGACAAAGTTCGTTAAAGTTAATTCACATAAAAACTGCATTATCCTTCATATGAACTGTGATCAAGATTTGACCGAATAGTTCCAAAAAACCTGGGCGATAAACTGTAATAGATAATTTCAACGCTTTTTCCGGCGAACTGGTTGGAGAATCATTGAAAACGAAGGATTACTGGAGGATTCTTTAGTCTTAATTTCGACCTCTTTAAAAGTGTACCCTCAAGACTGTATTAGTTTCAGGATTCCACTTTATTATTACTTCTCGATGAAAGTAAGTATGAATACACGAAGACTGGAGAAAAATATCGTAAAATCTACGCCTCTGATGATGCATTGTACTATTGTGGTGAGAGCTGGCTGCTAGCCAAAGTTGGTAGACAGTAATTGAAGTCAATGTTTATGTCCCCAATATTGGTGGTGAGGAAATGAGAACAAAGACTTTGCGTAGGCGGATACAGTTAGCATATGGATGATGATCTGACACAGCCACAAAGAGATGCAAGGTTAACTTTCTGTGAGAAACAACCAATCAAAAGACTCTATTTTCTACTAACAATAATCTACAATAATGTACATTGAAATCTATAAATATGTGTTGATTTTCCTTAATAAACGATCTGTTGCCTGGCCCTTGTCTTCTGTTGTTACACTATGACTAATATTGAGTTTGATAAGTGCACTGAACATCTAGACTTTGATTGGACACTAGATAGCAACTGATATCGTATGTCCAGTCCTTGGTTTTGGCCCAGACTGAATTCTGTCAGTGAAGATCGCAATTCGGTTACCAGGCCAGGGGAGTCGCCATCACGGTGCACTCTGAATTATTATTATTATTATTATTATTATTAGATGGTTGGAGGCAATCTGGATGAAGCCTTTTCTGGACATAGATTTCTTGCTTGTTGGCTGATACTCGTCCGTCAGCAAAAAGTATTTACAATCTTGAGGGAACTCATATCTCGTCTGAGATTCGAACCCACGTCGTCCAGTATTATAGGCAGATATATTACCAGTAAGCGATTCGGGCTGGTAACTGACTTTATGTAAGATTATAATGAATGCTTTGATTGGTTACTGAATATTAGCTAATGTTATGCACCCAGTCCCTGATGCAGTCTGCACCGTCCTCCTTTATGGCTGTGAGTGAAACCTGGCCATTGAGAGTGGAAGACATGTAAATGCTAGCCAGCTAGTTGTCTGCGTTCTATCTCCCATGTGAAGTGGTATACTAGAGTGATTAATATTGAGGTTAGGCGTTGAGTGCTAGGTAGGTGGGAGGGGAAATCAATCGACGAGGCTGTGAAGTTACATCGACTGAGATGGTTAGGACATGTGTTACGTATGCCTAGTTATCGCCTTCCTCGACGGGTAATGTTAGCTGACTGACATAGGGCGGATCAGGTTGGAAAAGAGCCAGTAGTGGCCAAACCAAAACATGGATTTATCACTCAATGAAATCCACAACGGTTAGTTTAAGCTAGCCACATAGGTAGGTGTAGACTTCGCGGTTGGGATCGGCGGGATAGTAAAAACCAATGAAGGCTGGAGAGAATCGGTGATGTGGTTCAAACTCATCGTTCTCGATGATGCATCCACTACTTGTGACTTATAATACCCAATGAAACTACATGGTTCTTTAATATTACCGTTCTTTTTGCCTCATATCTCTGTTTACTGTCTCTATTTTGCATTTCCTTTCACCTTCTTCTCTGGTTTTATGGGCTGAGTGAGGTGTAGCGACTAGAACTGCTGCACATCGGTGCAAAGTTCAGTCGGTGTAGAATGAATGCTGTCTAGTCTGAAAATGAACCAATCAAATATCATTCTTAAATAACTTTGAGTTAATGTAAGACTGACAGACAATCAGTCGCTTTACACTGTTAGACTAGAAAAGAGTTTGGTGGTAGTCAGACGAAAAGAAAGGAATCACTCCATAAGGTCTTTGGTTGTTGTTCCCAACAAGCCATTTAGGTAGGTGAAACTGCCTGATTGAGCTCCTGGAGATTTTAATAGCCATTAGCTAAAGGCTATTGTTGACATGTTTCAAAGTCGTTATCAACGGCGCAGACGAATTCACTATACCTCACTCCCAGGTCTATCAAATCCCCACTATCAATGTTGGTGAAGATTGAATAGTTTGTTTATTCGAAGTGGTCTCTATTTGGCGGCAGACAAGAAGGTTTTCGTTGCTTAATCGTATACTGATTGGTAGAGGACTGGAGAAATATGATCAGAAGTATTGTTGTACATTATTTTGACGTTTATTTACGTTAATTGACTTTAATGAGCTACCGGGGATTCTTACTTCATCTTCATTGTTATTTGCAGACGACATTAAAATATGGAAAACTGTAAATAATAACGAGGATAGGTCGACCCTACAAACTGATCTAGATAAATTAGCTGAGTGGTCGAATCTGTGGAGTTTGGAAATGAATTCTAGGAAAAGCGCGGTAATGCACTTCGATCAGAAGTCGTACACGTCGTACTCCCTGGGTGACACAGAACTGCCAGATGTTAGGGAGAAAAAGGACTTAGGAATTATTGTAAGCCATGACTTAAAAACAACGGCAAACTGTAATCGAGCCGCAGCTAAGGCTTTTCGAGTGCTATAGGCACTTCGAAGGGCTTTCAAACGATTAGATGAGGGCATGTTCCAAATACTCTACGCAACATTTGTCAGGCCTCATATAGAATACTACATACAAGTGGCGGTTCCATGCTTCAAAAAGGAAGCACATATCCTAGGAAGAGTAGAGAGGGTAGGAACCAAATTAGTTAATGGTATCTCACACCTTCCTTATGATAAGAGGATGGAGCATTTAAATCTCTTCCTGTTGTCATACCGAAGGAAGAGAGGCGAATTAATTTTAGCATACCGTATACTTAAGGGTGATTTAGGAACTGACCTTTCTAAACTTTTCTCCCCTTCTAGGATACATTTATGGGGTCACCGCAAAAAGGTGCTCAAACCGAGGACGATTAAAATACGTGCAGAATTTAGATTCTCTCACAGAGTGGTCAACGACTGGAACTCCTTACCTGATTCAGTAGTATCAGCTCCATCGGTGAACGCCTTCAAAGAGATGTTAGATCTCTGCAGAGATATATTTTGCAAGGATTAACACAGGCCACAAGAGCCTTCTATCCTTATCATCTGAATCTGAATCTGACTTCGCCCGTATTATTATTATTGTTTCCTTCAATTCCTAGAGGAACATAGGGCTTCAGCCATACGTCTCTATTGCGTTCGGTTCTCTGCCGGAGTCTTCACCTGGCTCCACGTCTACCCACATGCTTTCATCTCCTCTTCGCATGACTTCCTCCAAGTCACCCTTGGACGACCAACTCGCCGCTTCCCGTTCGGGTTCCGCTCGAGTCATGGCTTGTCTAGTGATGTCACTTGATGGTTTCCTCAGAGTATGGCCAATCCATCTCCATTTCTTCCTGCCTATTTGTTTCACAATCGGTTCCTGGTTGGTTCGCTCCCAGAGATCCCTCTCTGTTGCTGATCTTTTCTGGCCGGCCATCTGATCTTGAGTAGTATTGAGCAAAGACAACTGTTAATGAAGGTCTGTAGTTTGTTTGAGATGCTCTTCATGACGCGCAGTGCAAGTCTCTGATCCGTATAGTAAGTAGCACTGACTGACTTCACATTGGAGTTGAAAATCCGGATCTTATTTTTGATGCTGAGTGCTGTTGACCTCCACACAGACTTGAGAGTAGTGAAAGGTTGTGTTGCTTTTCCGATTCTTGTTTTGATATCCTCGTCAGTTCCGCCTGTAGTTGAAACGATGCTTCCCAGGTGGGTAAAAGAGGTTGTTTCTTTCAGGTTCCTTCATTTTGTGCTGATTGTTGTCTGTTGTTGTTGCTCTTGTCCAGGAATCTTCATTACCTCTGTTTTCTCTATGTTCGCCTGAAGTCCTATCTTTGATGCTTCTTCTGCCAACTTGTTGCTTTTCGCCTGCATATCTTCTAGTTTGTGAGAAATCAGATATATATCACTGGCGAAGTCCAGATCCACCAAGTTTTTTGTGTGAGTTCATTTTCCCTGTTTTCTTATTGCCCGCTTCGCCTGTAGTAAATTGTAACTCTGTTTCGTTATCGGTCGAAGAATAAGCAATACTATTGTCCAATCATTTTCTGTTGTTCCGTATCGGTTACTGTGCATAGTATTCAGCGTATGAGGCGTAGTCCTCTACAACCAGGGATAGGTTCAGGATCTGTGAGATCTGGACAATTGACATCTACTATTCTCCATCAAATCACACTGATCCGTTTATTAGCCCAATTAGAATGACTAAGTTTGTTTTCCGAACAGCTAATCTCTTTAAGTCAATTCCAGGAGTTCACTCACTTCACAACGGCTGACGTTTTGTGGTTCAACAACTTGACAATTGGCTTTTTTAGCATTTGTAGTGCAGTGAAAGTTGGTTCCACTGTCACCTAACTACAATACAGTTGAAGAGTCTATGGAAAACAGAAACACACCCCCATCTGAGTTTCACACACAAATTATTTCAGACAAAAATCATTAAAGAAAAGCAATCTTATGCACTTTAACTCTTACCAGCTAGTAAAATCACTGCTAATTGAAGTTCGTTGTGTAGTTAACTTTTGAAATTCATAACATGTACTACTTGAATCAGTAGCAGTTCCATATAAGGTGTTCAGTTGTAGAGTACACAGATTGGCGAGTAATTGACATGCAGTAATATTATTATATGCAGGCTAAAATTAAAGATAAAATATTAATAAATGGTAGTAACAATAATAGGGTACTTTCAAAATAGGCAATATATACTAAACTAGCTTTCAAGGACAATAACAAAGCTTAATCTTGAGAGGCTCATCAACCAATCACATTAGACTTAACGTGTACAAATAGGATTCGCAGATATGTGGCTTAACTTTCTGAGAAACGGCCACAAGCGGTACAGGATAACCTTAAGCAAGGAAACAACCAATCAAAAGACGTTGTTTCTCCACTGACAATAATATACATGAAAATCTAAAAATATCTGTTGGTTTTTTTCAATAAACGACCTGCTGCCTGACCCGTGACTTCTGTCGTTACACTACTAGTTAATGGCGACCATTCAAAAAACAAACTAGTTAGTGAAATAAAACATCCTTTAATTAATGTTAGTAGAAAGTTTTGGCCATTGTGGAAGGGATCTAATAAATTATAATGATATTTCAATAGTTTACACACACACATTGAAAAGTTTTTTGTTCTGGTAATATTTCGAGTGAAATTACTAACCACCGTCACACCCGTCACATCACTAAGATAACCAACGAACCTCAAAACAACATCAATCAGCGCCAATCACCATCAACGGGAGAGATTAAACAGAGACTACCTCCTTCACTAATACAGGAAGCATCGTTTCAACTATGCGCGGAACGGGTGAAGATGTCAGAATCGGAAAGACAAGATACGCCCTCATCAACCTGAAACCAGTTTTGAAACCTTTCGCACTCAGTATAAGCAGCGAGATTCGCATTTTCGACACCTATGTCACTTTAGTCCTTCTATACGGGTCAGAAACTTTGCCAGTGTGTAACGAAAAGGATTTCCAACAGCCTGTTGCAGACTTTCATCAACAGCTGCCTCCTTCGCTGGCTCCATACTGAAGATCAAATGGCCTGCTAGTCAGAAAGAATTAGCAACAAGAAACTCTGGCTGAGAAAAAACCAACCAATATGTGAGAGAAAATGGAGGTGGGTCAGGAATACATTGAGGAAACCGTCGAACAACATCGTGTGCTATCCAGGCCACCACCCGAGTGGAATCCCAATAGGAAGCAATGAGTGAGTCGTCACATTGAGGGTGACATGGAGGAAATCATGTAAAGAGGAGATGAGAGGTTATGGGCGATCGTGAAAACATCTGAAGAGGAGAGCAGAAAATAGAACAAAGCGGAGATGTGTTGTTGAAGCCCTATGTTCCACTAGGAATCTAAGGGCATAATAATGACAATAATAATAATAAAAACAATAATTAAAATTAATAAATCAGAGAGATTACTGATTCCACCCAACAGTCTCAACAGTTCTCAACAATGAGACTAGCCGTTCTAAATAAAGATTGTTTTAGAAATTAATTCAGAAAAAGTAATCGTAAAATTTTCAAATTTAGAGATGAAAGTGAAATGAACTCACTGAACAGAAAGCTGTTGCAGAACGTGCTTGTTTCTCAAAATAACTTGAAGATATTCCTTTCTGTGAACTTGTCTCACCCTAAGAATAGAATTTAAAAAATAAAACATGCTATGCCTGTATGTGTTTGTAAAAATTCATAACAAAGTTAATAAATTTAAGCTGTTCAATTCATGAATGATTTTCTGTAGGATAATATAATCGACAATTAGAGATCCAAGAAGATCTGGATTTTAACAGACGATTTATGTTTTCAAGTATTGGTGTTTTTGTAGGGATTTTGTTTGATTGATTGGAGGATTTCATCATGAGCTGACATCAGTTGGAGAACTGTTGGGAAACCACTTGGGAGTACTACCAGACATCTGTTTAGTCAGCCAAGCTTGGGACTCTTCAACAGTACACACCCACTGCCAATGTTCGAACACAGGACTTTCTGGTGACAGGGCTAGTGAGCTCATAGACCATTAAGCCAGTCACTAGGACCCAATCCACTGGCCCATGAATTCTAACTTCTGCCAATTCACGACAGAGTGCGACTACTTCACAATGTCTTCTTCGAGGTGGGAAGCCGTGACTAGTAGCGTACAGCAGGTTGAAGGCAGTAACTAATCGAAGATAGTCGTGCTATTTCATGAGTTGGCAGAAGCTAGAATTCATGGGGTGGCCATTGGATTGGGTCCCACTGGCCTAATGGTCTACGAGCTAGCTAGCCTCATAACCAGAAGGTCCTGGGTTCGAACCCAGTGGCGTGGGTGCGTACTGATGAAGAGCCCCAAACTAGGCTGACTAAACAGCTGTCTGGCAGTACTCCCAGTCAGTTTTCCAGTGGTCCTCTAACCAATGTCAGCTCATGATGAAATCATGGCACCAGTCAAATCCCTGCAAATTAACACATGAGTAATAACGTGGTTGATTTTCTTTCCCACCATTACGAAACACTCTTTTAATACATTTTAAAAAATGCCCACCGTGTTTGTGGTTTCATTCTACACAGAGAAGTGTTATGTGGAGACATTTAACGATGAAAGACTCCTTGACACATTTGCATATGTTCTGTCTACAATAGAAATGTCTCGAAATCTTAAAGTCGTCCAGTAGACTAATAAATAAATCTTTTTGGTGGCAAGGGGGTGGGGGTTGAAACCAATTGCTTGGAATCTGAGTCCTAACGGGAACAGCATCATCCTCCTGGGATGCAGATACATTTACCTAACGAGTTCCACATAGGAAGAAATTCTCTTCCTAGATTCCACTGCTAGTCACCATCAGCTAAAATGAGATCAGATTACTCTTCAGACACCAGTAGCCAGACATTCTGGTTTAACATATACGATCGACAGGAAATGAAGTTTAACTTAAATAATAGTATCGTTTTATTTTTCATTCATTGGGAAATATAAAAGCTTTTATAATAGGGAATTATTGCAGTTAGGACAAGTGGTCTTCAGATGCCAGAGAAAGTACAATCTAGAAAATATAAAACTTGGACTAATTTAGTTGGTGATTTTTTTATTACTGCGCGACAGTGGCACACTGGTTAGGACTCTCGCCGACCATGCACATGGTTCGGGGTTCGACCCTCTGCCGACGCGCACCTGATATCTATGGTCGGCCTGCCAAATTTGGGCTACCGATATCACATGCTGAAAATTCCATACCTGTACCAAAAAATACGGTGTGGAATCAAGTTGTAATCAAAAAAATAAGAAAATAAAATAAGAAAAAAATAAAAAGCCGAATGTATATTGTTTTTCTTATGTTTGACGTAGTCACTTCATTCAACCGGTATCTTTGACATAGTCAAGTATGCAAAACTATTCAGCAGAATCATCCAGTACTGCGCGTTATGAAAGTCATGAGTATAATTACTAACATTAAAAATTTGAAGGATACTTTAATCCTACGAAAAACTGTATAGCAAATTGTATTTCTGGTAACTTTAATACTTCAAATATTGCTACATATAGGATCCTCGCGAGAACAGAAGATGCACTGGATGCAGAACTCCTCCAACCACACCGGAACAAGCTGGATTCAGGAAAGATAAATCATGTGAGGAACAAATTGCAACTCCATGCATCACCATCATCATCGAACAAAGCAAAGACTGGCAGGAAAATCTCTTTCTCTACCTCAGTTTCATCGACTAATTTGAAAAGGCCTTCGACAGCGTTGGCCATGAAGTAACTTGGAAACTACCTCAACACTATGGTGTGCAGTACCCCCAACTCTTTACCAACCTCATTCACCAGCTAAGTGACAATGACACGTGTCAGGTGATCCACAACAGACACCTTAGTGAAGTGAATACAGAAGTATGATTATTGGCTGTCTGGCTATTATCACCGATGATATTACTAATTGTAGTGGACCGGATTATGCGTCAGACTGTTCAGTGGGAGAGAGAAGACAGGTTGTATGCTGGACCACCGATAAGAAGACTCTAGAAGATCTGGATTCCGGAGATGAGTAAGGCCTAATGTCACACAAACTCGAAGACTTACAGGCAGGCAAAAACCAAAAAAATTGCTGAGGAGGCAGTCAGTAAAGACAGGACTCTAGGTGAACATAGAGAAGGCGGAAGTGATGAAGATTACCAGCCAGCCAACTAACCAACCAATAGTAACAACAACCAGAACCAATCATCATAAACGGGAGATATTTGGTAGAGGTTACTTCCTCCACTTATCCTGGAAGCATCATTTGAACCACAAGCAGCTGGAACGGATGAAGAAGTGAAACCCAGAATGGAAAATACAAGATACACCTTCGTCATTCTGAAATCAGTTTGGAAATCTGCACTAGGTGTAGAGAACAAGCTTTTAACTTTTAACACAAATGTTAAGTCAGTCGGTTCTTCTCTTTGGGTGAGAAACTTGGCGAAGGAGTCGCGAAAATCATTTCCAACAGACTACTGTAGACTTTTATCAACAGTCGGCTCCACAGCTGGCCCCGTATTGAAGATCAGATGACTGGCCAGAGAGAATTAATAACAAGAAACTCTGGGTAGGAACCAACCAAAAACCAACCCATCAACAAATATGTAGAAGAAAGTAAAAATGGACTGGGCGCACAATAAAGAGACCGTTGGCTGACATCGCACGCCGAGTCATCGCCCCAGTGGAACCCAAATGGGAAATGAAGAGTGGGCCGTCAGTGCGAGGGTGACACGGAGAAGACTGTGTGGCGAGGAGGAGATGAGAGACTACGGGTAATCGTGGGTCCGGCTGAAGATGACAGCAGAATATAGAACAAAATGGGGACGTGATGTTGAAGCCGTATGTTCCGCTCGGAACCCAAGGGAAGAATAACAATACTAATATAATAATAACAATACATACAGGATTTTTGGTGCAAGCACTTCTTGTAAAACACAATATGACCAAGCTATCATTAAATTATTCTGGCATAATAAAAACGAATTAATCAATAAAGTGCACACTTACAGCTGGTAGTATCAGTGTAAAAGTATCAGATCCTTTAGGCACAACAGGACTTGTACTGGAAGCTGATTTCGAGGTGTCAGTTGTTGTTGTCGGTGTTATACCTGGAAAGCAAACACCATCAACCTATAAGATGAAGAAAAGTAGGATAAACAAATTAGTAGATCGCTTAATCTGACCAGTTATACTACGAAATAAGTATTGTGGAAATATTTATATTATATATGTCCAAACCAAGTTCACTTTTAACAGTTTGAAAAAAAATTTGGGCATTGGGTATATGGTATTCATTATAATAAAGGTCCTTTTTGTATTTCCCCATGAATGAAAAACAAAACGACATTACTGTGCTTACTGACGTTTCGCTATTTAATGCTGTTGCTAATAGCTTTATCAAAGTGTTAATACGACCAAACCAGAATTTACAAAATCCACTCAGCTTATATCTAACAACTTAATCATCGTTCATCAGCATGGGAGCAATTTTCCGTTTTCAAATTGGCCAATTGGTAAAGATAACAAAACCAGGTGTAGATTATTGGATTTGATAAGTGTTCAAAAATACACAAAAGCAGCATGTGTTTACATAATCAAATTGCTTGTCAGATTCGTGTTGATTTTGTCAATTCATGGTGGAGGGAGGTGTTGTAACCTGGTCAAATTCTGTTTCAGTCAATTATTCCTATTCAAACAATTTGGATTTCACTTGATGATATGAAGTGCTTCAGATGATATCAGACGTTCTTTGTGATTTCCGAAATATTCGAAAACGTATTCCGAAAACATGGACCTCAGCAGTTGTCATTCTATATAGAGCGGAAACGTCAGACGAAATCAGAAGAGTACTCAATAAGCTTGACATTATAGTTTTATTCCAAACATCAGACACACTGAGAAACAACCTTGTCTATATAAAAGGCCAAATCCACAAAGATTCTCTATCGAATAGTGTCTATCAAATAAAATAATTGCTTGGAATGTGTTGCGATATACATCGGACAAACATCGCCGGAGAGAAATCATGGTTATCAGAAGAAATGACCACCGTAGACCCACCTCTGTCCGACCACCAAGAAATCCAGTTAGTTAACTAGGAAAGCTTGAAAAATCATCAGCCATAGGTAGTCTACACGCTATTCAGTGAGGTCACAAAGTTGATTTTGACAATATTGAAATAATCCAGAAAAACTTCAGAAATCACAAAGAACGTCTGATATCATCTGAAGCACTTTATATCATCTAGTGAAATCCAAATTATTTGAATAGGAATGATTGACTGAAACAGAATTTGACCTGGTTACAACACACACACCCCTCCCCCATGAATTGACAAAATCAACGGGGATGTGATAAGCAATTTCATTATATAAACACACACTGCTCTTATAATCTGACACACTAATCAAATCCAACAATCTACACCTGGTTTATCTTTGCCAATTGGCCAACTTGACAACGTAAACAGAATTACCCCGTGCTGGGGGACGATGATGATTGAGTTGTTATATAGAGACTAAGTGGATTTGGCCAATTCTGGTTTAATATTACCACTTTGAAAAAACTATAAGCAGCAGCAGCATTAAATAGCGAAATGTCAGTAAAAGTAACAATATCGTTTTGTTTTCATTCATTGGGAAATACAAAAAGCCTTTATTTTAACTATTTATATTGATTTGAAAAATTTATTAACAAGTGCAATTTACACAAGTCGTAGCTATACAAAGGTGTCAGTCTAACTGGTAGAGACGTGAACACTGCAACTGTTAATAAGAAATAAATCATGTCTATGTACTCTATTCTTTTTTAAAGTAACAAACTATACTACTCGAAGGTATATGTTACTTTGATAAAGAAATTGTACTACTTATTTTATCATACAATATCTACCTAAGTTACTTCCGGTTTTTGTATATAAAATACCTAGAAGTTGACGAACACTTCTGGTAGAGTAATGTACACTGAAGTTATACAATTTAGGAGTAATCTCAAACTACAGGACAGTAAAACTGAACATGAAACAAGCTCTATGAGGGATATTTTAACCAAGAACGGAAATAACCACCCAAACAGTTCTAAAGAAGTCTGTCTGCATCACTTTGCTATTCAGAGGAGATGATGTATACAAGAAGTAGTCAAACGGAGACTCGATAAAGCTGTCAAGAGGACTTGTTATTCTGCAAGTGCTTCAACAATCTGGGAAAGATCAGTCGCCATTCCTCGATACTTCAAACTGCGTATATCAGTTTGTGTGTTAGTGAAAACGAATATACAGGTGGTAGGGGAAGACTATTGCCTACTGGCGTGAGGAAGCGTTTGTCTAAGTGCTTGAAAACAGGTGAAGTCAAAGTACCAAAATGTTCAGTGACATTTAGTGGAATACAGACACCTTATTATCGATTTCGAGTTATTCACTATTATTGTCAGCAGACAAACAGACAGGAAGATGCTTGCATTTACGGGGCCTTGTGAAATTAGAGTTTGTAAACACGGTCTCTGTGTACAGAAGGAAATCATGGTCACTCTGAATCTATAATGGTAATACGTTCTACTAGTTAACCGTTATTATTATTATTTTTAATATTAGTGATACTTTATTTTACTACTATCATTATCCTTGATTCATTTAAAACTATCTCTTATCACTACCAATATCTTAACTCCCTTCAGCATTATTATCATAACTATTACTATTAATATTACTCAGTTCACAATTCTTGGTACGTTTAAGTTCTTTCTCTAATGACTAATTGTTTATCTAAGTGAGTTAATTGAAGCGTAATGAATGTCATCTGAATTTTTATCTTTCATACTTCCTCCCTCCTTATCTATTTGAACATGACCTGAAAAGCATCCGCATTTAGCGTTTTGCATGGCTAACTCAACGTTGTTTATTTACTTATCAGTCTTATATCTCCCAATGTCATTCTAAATGTATACATATGCCTGTATGTAGAGCACTCAACTGAAGGGCTCTACCAAAATTTGATGAATTCATTAAATCCCTCTTTATTAGCCTTTGTTGCTTGTTTTAAAATCTCAGATTAGATCGTACATAATCATGAGTAGTGCTTACACTAATCAAAGAGTGTCAGGTAGAAGAGGTAATCCAGTCAACACTTATTAGCTATTAATCTCTGAGGAAGCATTTACTGATATGTCTAAAAGCAGTTCACAGTGAAAAAAATGTGTTGATTTCACATTATCTTCGAAATTTTCATTACTTCTCAGGAGATTTTTTAAACATCTTTAACCATCCTTGTATCATTATATATCTCCGGCCTTCATTAACAAAAGGAAGCTGTCAGGTGGGCAGGGAGACTACAAACGCCAATGGTAACTATCAAAAACACTCCTTGTTTCCATATATATGTTTAACCAGACAGCTCTCCACTTAAACCACTCTAGTGTAATGGTTCTACATTGGAGATCAATGCCAACCTAAGACCAACAGGTTTCTTAAAAGCATCTATAGAATCCCTCTAACATACGTGAGATGAACTCTGAAGATTTACCGAATCGGTCAAGTGAGGTGAAGTAGATAACTACACTTTTCAGAGCTTTAGGAAATTATGCATCTCTGAAGTATTCAGTACGATTTTTGCAAGAAACCTATTTCATTTTTTTAAGTTATCCATCTTCACTTTTGGTGTTAAAATGTAAACTTGACAATATTTTGAGGCCAAGAAAGAAGCGTGCAGTTGAGATTTAAGTGCTGCATGAAGTGTGATGTTTTGTCGTGCTTTTATACAATCATTAAGTCATTTGGTTTCTAGAGGTCCACAAAGGAGTGTAAAACGTTTAGGAACAGAGGTCAAACAGTTTAGTCAAAATCTTTTATTCGCAAGCTGTTTTGTAGTCCTGCATCTTTGTGAACGGTGTGAGAACTTATGAGGTTGGCAGACTATGTCTATAAGCTGAGCTAAACCGGGTCTAGTTAGTTTAAAATCAAGCCACAGCTTTCATTTCTTCAAGAAGCATCATCCCCTCCCTAAATTAAAGTGGGTTACTCCTCCGGTTTCTTGATTCACTAATAAAAATCACTTGTGAAAAAGATAATGTTCATTGATATAAGAATAAAACTTGGGCACTGTGGTAGAGTGTAATTCCATTATGGGTAAATTTTTATTTTGATAGAGTCTCACAGTGTTATACAGTAATATTTACTGATGACGTTTCGAGCACAAACTATTGCTCATAATTATATCATATCATAATGTTCAGTTTGATTTGCAAGTGCATAATCTCACTTAGTCATCTAGCTGGATGTCATCTACGCCTTTCATCAGTAAACAGATAAAGATAAAAAGTCGTTGTTTGTAAAATCACATCCGGCATTCAAAAATACTTGAAAGCAGCAGGAAGCATTTGACTGAGGGAAAAAGATGCATTTGAGACAACTATCTACATTTCCTAACTTGGTAACAGTGTGTTTTTATTTGGGTTCTTAGTCAGACGAATGTTTTTCAAAATCTTGTTTTCAAGTACGTGTCTCCAAAGTTTTTCCAAAAGCAGACTAGAAGTCAGTTGAAATTAACTACGACTCTATATCATAAAGTTAATTCTTCCTTAAGTGTCAGATATTGTGTACTACAGCTAAACTGCTATTAAACTGTCTGAACCAATTCCCAAATCAACATGAAAGTGTTTTTAATCAGTAAACTTTCTAAAAATCTCAGTGAATTAACTAAACTTCTCAGAATGTGTGCAGCATATTTAGCACACGTCTTCTCCATATAATTTTGATATCTGTCTAAGTAACATATAATATTCCCCATAAGAAATGCTCAAAAGTGTGATGCAAAACTTATGACTATTAAATACAATATAACACGGTTCACCCTTCAAAAACAAGAAATAACTTACTGGAGAATTTGGACATGTGCATGAATCAGACAAGGATGATCCACGCAACATCTGGATTGTAGTCTGACAAGTAACACATCTAAAACCGCCTTAGGTTACTAGCGAAATATTTACCTTGAGCCTGAAGGTATTGTGTTACCTGAACACTGAAGACATTTTTGACTGTTTAGTAATTTCCCTGACTGGTCAAGATAAACTAAGAGAATAGTGTTAGTGTAATGAAACGTTACCTGAAATAGAAGTTGAAGAACAGGATCTGCAGCTTTTTGTAGCTGATATATATGACCCACTTTCACATGGTATACAATAAAGCCCATCATCACTGACCGTCTAAACAGTTATTAACACATTACTGTAACTAACTTCTCCGTCACCACATTTTACGCACTCCACATTATTGCCACCAAAATTTTTTAGAATCCTGTAACCAGGTTGACATACACACGAATAGCCTAGAAATTAGCAAACAATTGACTTATACCATCTTGTGACTGTCTTTGATAGGTAAGATTCTGAGAACATTTTTCACAAATAAGGTTGGCAGTGTTGAAGTATTCTGCGTTTGAACTTGCAGAACCAGAATAACAGTTGTTTGGTAATATAAAATTAACCGAATAGGAATAATTTGGAGCAGCAAGTAATGAAAATGTGACAATAAACAACCAAACCAACATAACTCAGTCAAAAAAGTACGGCGTTCGCGTTGGTATGGTATTTTATACACGAGCTGCGCAATCTAAACAAACTTCACTGTTTTCATTGATTCTATACAATGTCCAATCCAATATCTTTTTACGAACTAGTACAAACCAATTTGATTTCTTTGTGCTCGCCTCTTGATTGTGAGGTATAGGTTTCTGTTCTTCTGTAAACGTCTGCGTAGCTCGTCCTGCCACTCAGCTGACGTAACTACTCCAAAAGGAGTAGTGCTGGGATCAATTATATGTGGTTTGTAGTATGAGGTGTGTTAAGACTGTTACTACTGTGAATATAGTTGAACTTTTCACCAGTTAGTCCTCCGGTATAGTCGTCAAAAAGAAAAGAGGTAATAATAATAATAGATATAATTAGTGAAGTTATTCAGACTAACAGACAGCTGATTAAGGTTGAAGTTGATATGTATACATATATCGGTAATAATAATGATGAGTGTATCTAGAGTTATCAGGAGAGTAAGACGGGAGAGAATGTAAAGAAGTAGAACGACGAAATTAGTTGTTTACCCGGAATGGTGTATGAGATTTCAAGGGGATAGACCATTTTGACGCAGTCATTGTGTCACTGCATGACTGTCCAGCCTTTGCTTAAAGGCGTTCACAGACGGTGTCATAGCTGCATCTGCTGAAATTCCAAGGATGGAAAACCCTCAGTGAAAAGAAGTGGGAGCGCATCCGAGTCCTTGCCCTCTGGTGAGTTATCCTTCTGGGATTTCCACTAGGTAGAACACCTTTGGGTGATTCTGGTCATTTGTTACCTTGTAGGCAGTAATCAAATCCCTACTAAGCCGACGGTAGGTAAGTGTGAATAGGCCTAATTTCTTTAGCCTTTCATCATATGGTTTGTTTCGGAGACCAACCACTCCTTTTGTTGCCCGTCGCTGGACTCTTTCCAAGACGTTGGCGTCTCTTCTAAGCAGTAGGGGTGCAAAAATATCATGCACTTCAAGGTGTGGTCTGACATATGCTTTGTACAACCTTAGAAAGAGCTCAACAGTGAGTGCACCTGTCTATGTGTAAAGTGTATGACCGCATATGCCCTCGCTATGCCCACGTGTAATTTACGCTTGTGTCCATTTTTTCCGTTAGAACTAGACCTAAGTCACATTCCAACGTAATGCAGGACAAGCTTTTGTTGCACAGGTGGTAACTTGCATTCTACAGTCTACAGGTGCATCATTTCACTACTTTGCACTTTTTCAGGTTGGAAACCATGCCACTGGCCACCGCCCATTCTTCCAGAAGCTTTAGGCCTGCGTGCAGCCTATCTGAGTCCTCTGGGCACTTTATCGCCCTCCATATCTTTACGTTGTCAGCGTATACAAGAGTCGGGCAGCTTAGACGGAATGGTATATCATTGACAAAAATCAAAAACATCAGTGGTCTTAGGACAGGACCCTGAGATACTCCTGATGACGAGCTATGCCAAGGTGATCGTACTCGATTGACCTTAGTGCAAAATTACCTTTCAGCTAGCTAGTCCTTTAACCATGAAAGAAGTGGTTTACCTATACCTGTCTGACTTATTCTGTGTAGAAGATGGTAATGGTAAACTGTGTCAAATACCTTCTCAAGGTCTAGGAAGACCACATGGGCTGGAACATTCATATCCCAGTATGATGTCCTATCGTCCCAAACTGATACTAGGTTTGTTACACAGGATCTGGCTTTCCTGAAACCGTCTTAGGCTTCACGGAGTATATTAGACCTATCGAGATATTCCCTGATGTGATCGTCAGTAATACTTTCCAGTACTTTTGACACCACTGGGAGTAGAGCTACTGGTCTATAACTAGTGGGATTTTGCCTATCCCCACCATTGAAGATGGGAGAAAGGATGCTTCTCTTCCACTCCCTTGGCAGTTTCCTCGATTCCATGGAGTGTTGGGACAAGTTGCATAAGGGCCTACAGAGAGCTTCGGCGCACTCTTTCAGAACAGATGGCCTGATGAAATGTTTGACTCCGACCTCGCGCCTCGTTCGAAGTTTGTCGTTTTTTTCCGCGTGGTTTTCGTTTTTATTATTCTGTGTAGTACTCCCACTTTTCAGGATATATCCTTAGTGTCACCGATTACTAATACAAATAGAAATATTTGTGTTATATCTGAACTTACCTTTATAGTCACAGGATATTATCCTTGCTACTTTTACTGTTTCAGATTACTGATTAAGGTATTACCACATCGAGCATCTGACTCTCAGTGCCCATATTACTCCTGTCTTTTGTTTTGACATAAAATCAAACAACCTAAGTCTCATATACTTGCAGTCCGACAGTTCTGTATTGAATTTATACAAAATGCCAGTTAAGCTATCGAAGCGTCGTGCTTCATTATCGGCTGAAAACTTCAGCAAAAGACATAAATCTAGCAAGCCTAAACAGCATGGCACTACACTTTCCCCTGATCTGACACAGGTGCTAAATATGTCAAAATCGGATATCATTACCTCTTCACCTTCTTGCGTTATAAATGATTTTATCAGGGATATTTGCAATAGTACAGGTTGTGAGCCAAGCATTTTGGACTCTTACCAAGTCACACTGGCTGTTAATAAAAAGCCTGACACTGGCTCCTCTGACGTGGTTGAATATACACCCTCCATTTGCCCTACTCAGGATTGTCAGTCAGAAGGTCCGAACACACATGTGGCCTCACTATCATCGATACATACTAATATCAAATCTTTTGACTGTGTCAAAAGAAATGTTAACTCCCCCAAATGCTTAGTAACCTTAGACGTTGACCTTGATAATCATTGCAATACACAGGCAGATTTACTGTCATCTAGTTCCATTCAATTGGATGCTTTTGAGCAGGCTACACATATGCCGGCACAGAGGGCAGAATGCAGCACCACCGCTACTGTTAACGATAAAGCCCCCCATCGCAAGAATTTCCATCGGTCATCAGCGACCCGTGGACACCAACCTAATGCCAAATTTGAAAAAACAAATTGCTCCTTGCCTACGCAAAACACATCCAACCAAGCCAATAGCCTGGATAGCACAAACATCCTTCCGTTAGTCCATGATCTCTTACCCCTTAGGTATCTGATAAAGCCTGCTGACTATCCTGACTATGATACGCTACAGTCTTGTGAGAGAATTATAGACCATATTTCCAAGGAAGTGATCAAGCGGGTTCAGTGCATGTATAATGCAATTGTTTTCAATGTGCCCGACAGTACGAACATTAAAACACTGAAAAACGCACTTCTAAAGGCATGCGAAATACCAGATTCCCACTGTACCTGCAAACGACTGCGTAAATCTTCAGCTAATACATCTTGTCCAATAATGTTCGAGTTTAATAGCATT